TACCTCTCTGCCCTCTCTGAACGCCGATCGTTGACTGGTTGAAGGAAGCCAAGGCGACGCTGTGATCGTGTGCGGCTCAAGTGTGGAGCAAGTGAAGGCGAACGTCGACGCTTGCGCCGATGAAACCCCTCTGCCGCAAGTAAGTAATGAAGGAAAGAGCGGAGGGAGGAAAGGACAAGGGAGATTAGTAGTTGATTTTGCCGTGCCTCCCCGGGGCAGCTAGTTGCCGCTCTGAAGAGGCACCGTATTTTTTTTGCCATATCCCCTCCGGGTGATTCTGAGACCGATATCCCCCCCCGCCTCGCTCCGTCTCGGCATTGTAGGGGTGCGTGGTCAGTGGTCTAATGACTCGGCACGCGTTGACATGAGTACCCCCCCCCTCCGACCGAGGGGTCTTGCGGTGGGTTGGGGTTGAAGCAAGGCACAGTACGGGAGCCTCAGAGTGCTCGTAGTGTAGACTTTGATGTGTCCGTGATGACTTCGTCCTTAGGTAGCTGATATCCTTTCGAAATGTTTCACTGCAATGCACGTGTTCTCTTATCATCCTTTTTGCCGTTGAAGTTTGTTGTGCTGATGGCGTGAGTGCTTAACCCTAACGCAATATGCCATCCCCCCGTCCCCTCCCCCCACAAAGGATTTGCATAAACGGGAGCTATTTGTTCATTTTGGCACCGATTTCCGTTGTTGCGGTCCAGCCGCAACCAACAATATCCGCTTATCATCGCTTCTTGCCCTGTTTCTTTCTGTTCTGTGGCGGTGAATGGGTGCAACGAATACCGTCTCCGGCGGCAACGGGGGTGATGGTGAAACATCAATCAACCGACAAAGGAGCTCGTGGATATGTTCGACCAGGCATGGGAAGCCTCCAAGGCGAAGTGCCCGCAGTACTTCCGGTGATCGTTGCGACCCGTCGTTAATTTCGAGCTATTTGCTACGTGTTGGAACAATGTTTGGAGGGCCTTGCAATTCGAGTAGGAAGTTTAGTGCTGACGGCTCACTTTGAGACGAGGGTGTGTGTCAGTATGAGATTTTGGAGACTAAGGCAGGGGGTGAATGGATGGGGGCGAAGGGAGGGCGAAGAGAGAGAGAGAGAGAGAGAGAGAGAGAGAGATAATATGGTTCCATTCAAGAGTCAACGTTGTGCATGATGTAGACCATGAATGTCATGTTCGCTTCGGAGGGGCGCGAGCTTCGAGCCCCCTCCCCGCCCCTCCCCGCTTTCGAGACACCGGGGACTACTCCCTCCAATCTTCCCGCAGAGAATCCAAGGCGCACACGCACAGATCGAAGATCTATGTTGTAGGCAGCAGATCCTCGCTTCTGGTACATCAGCAGCGGCATGGATCATGGTGAAATGGTGGCATCCCTTTGCAAGGTTGGTGCCGCCGCTCGAGCACGATGATGATACTGGGGGGTACAGAAACAGTACATGGTACACAACAGGACCAGAGCACGCCCAACGAAGAAGACGTTGCCCTCGCCGACGGCTCTGTGAGGCACGCGTGTAGTCTCTGGGCTTGCTCACATCAAGAAGGAAATAGTCTCGAAAACTCCTCCTCGGGAGACGATAGATCTCAAGCAACACGGTAGCGTTACCTACCTCGTTCACGTGTGCGGCGCTGACTGAATGAAGTGACCAGCCTATCTTCCCTCGCACCCTCCTACAAAGAAACCAGGGAAGGAAGCATTCGCCGTCGAAGTTTATTGGCGAACGGGACCAACCAGTCTCAGATACTCCATTTATTCCTTTCACTCAGGTCGCTCAACGCTCTCGGTGCGGGGGGGCGGGGTGTTAATGTTGTATGCGTCCGAAATACAAAAGGAAACGTAACAGCCTAAATTTGTTGTGTACTTGCGTGCACTTATCTTCTCATGACTGGCAGACGCTGTCCTTGACACATGTACAAGGACCCACAATATTGTGTGTGCGGGAAGCTCTCTCTCTCTCTCTCTCTCTCGGGTTTGCACAACACTAAACATCAGGTATTCATTAATCATAAATATCCCCGACACCACCAGAGGACACGCAGCTCTCTTTGTGGTTCAACAAGTAAAAGGAACCCCTCAGCTTGTGGGATGAAGGCCCGCGGGCCGGCCAGTTAGTCCCCTCCCACGTTAACCCAATGATCGATTTCACACCCATGTTGCAGCAGTGGGATCAACCCCGTTACGGTTGTGGCACAATCAATCGGCCGAGAAGACCTCACCCATGTTGCAGCAGTGGGATCAACCTCCTTGCGGTTGTAGCTCAATCAATCGGCCGAGAGTACCGTATTCTCCCCACACTTACTTGCTCGTCATNCCTCCTTGCGGTTGTAGCTCAATCAATCGGCCGAGAGTACCGTATTCTCCAGACACAAACGCCAACACCAACAAGCAGTTGATCCTGACCTCTATTACTCAGAAAAACTTGTCCTGCTGTGGCTGCTGTAGCTCGAAACTTGTCTAATACTTCCATTCAAACAGCTCCGATCAAGCCGGGCAAGCAAAAAACTACATCGTGAGGGACGGGGGGTGGGCGCGGGGCGGGGTNAGACCATTGACCTCGCATCCCTACAAAGCCGGGACGGAGCACGCCGGGTTCTCACCGGACCAGGCTCTCACATCACCAAGCGCGAAGCGCCGTGAGATATTCGGCGAGTCGCATGAAGGGTGCGCTGCATCCTGCTAGGCATCTTGTGCTTACTTCCTTGCATACGGATGACAGCTGCGTATGACTTAATTTATTTTCTGGTGCTTTCACTTCCAGAGACAGTTGCATGCACTGTGTAACTCGAGGGTGCTTGACCATTTTGACACAACGTCGTGCGATCATCCCCCTTGCTCGACCCCGCACAACATGATCCACTCGACCACTGTTCATGGTTACCGCCAAAAAAAAAACAGAGGTGAAAAATAAACGGTGACTTGGTTGCCGAGTTGACGAATTGAATTGGCTTGTTTTTCAACGTCGTTGCCAAGCGACGAAAACCCAA